TATTATTAAGTTAACTCTTCTTTCATTTTTAAAATTTGAGTATAAGATAATATCATCAATGTATGACAAACTGTTAATAAGGCTGCTCAGATAAATCAACACGAAATTCATAATTCGTTGAAAAATTTAGTTCCAACAATTTGACAATCCAAAATGGTGAAACCTAATTAGCGTATTGTTCAATAATAAATTAGATAATCAGAATTGTTAAGACTTCTTAAGAACATTATCGATAATTAATGACTGAAGGGAATAACAGAATTAATATGTTTTCTTAAATAATAGTAAATTAATTTTAAAAATACTTAAAAAATTCAAAATCATAATTGTTTGAATCAGTGAACTAGTCATAAAACAAATTAGAAAGATAACATGCGATTTAGCATTAAATGTATATGAGTGAATTGCAACTTTATTGTACCGTTTGTAGTTCCATATGTAAAACTTTAATAACTCCGGTTCCTATTGACTAATCTTTATGAAAATTTCAGAGTATGCTTCTGTAGTTGATGCTCACTACCACACAAAAAAATCACGAATTTATCATTAGCCTATCCTGAGATACTTAATACACAAGTTTAAAATGACTGACTTTTACTGTCACCTATTCACACAAAACGATCTATGATTGACTCATTTCCTATCATTTGAATTTTCACACTTGTTGACACTTATAGTAGGCAGTATGTACGTGACGAATATAAGACTGGCTCGTTCTTTCATCAAAGTTTATACTTATTTTTTTTCCGAAATATCAGATGTTCTGCTAGTAGTCAATATGTGTCACACGAGATTTAAAAATGACTTTACTATATAACAACGCATTCAAAATTTCTCGGGCACGTTTTAAATTAAAGGTTATCAATGGGGAACAAAACCACCAAAGACAATGCAAACGTTTCACTTATTCTTGTTAAGAAAGGAATATCGAATAGAATCTGAAAATCTAGTTGTCACACTAAATGTCACACGAGATTTTATATTTTGTTTATCCTACAAACTCCTGTAAATTAAGACAGATTGAGCTGAAATTTTTATCATTTTATCTACTAGTCGTAGTCAACCATTGTTGAAAATATCGCTATTAGAAAACGTATCTTTCATATCAAAGAGCAGACAAATAGTGTAAAAATGTCACACGAGATTTTTTGCTGAACCGTCACACGAGATTCTTGGGAGACAATTAGTTTAGATTTTTATGTATATCATTAGCACATAACTAAGACTGAAGGACATACATAACATGTCACTTGATTTTCTATTTAAGTAGCTATCATAACGTATGCTAGTACACTATAATTTATTTCTTAGGATTCATACATATTAACTCAGTGATTGTATATAAAGAATAGTGCACTAGGAGAGTTGTGTGATCGCGCTTCATTGAATTGGACTCTGAATGATGTTCCAGTGATATGAGCTAAGTAGTTTCTGTATATAAACTGAAGAATTTTCAACGCATTCTGCGAAACTCTAACATTTAAGCCATTTTTCGATCCAACAGCAGTGCAGTAATTCAAAGCATTTTTCAATGTTTCTCGTATATCAGAGCTATACTAAATGTGGTAGTCGGGAAAATTTATATTTTTTCTCCTCTTATATAGTACAACCAAAAACAGCACTGATCGAGTTCGAAATCGAAAATTTTTTTTCATCCGTTTTTTTCCTCAAAACGGTACAATAAAGTTGCAATTCACTCATATATATAATACCAGTAAAGTATTTCAACTGAAGTTTGTTATTAAATTCTATTTGTTCTTTATATCGATGGATATTGTGATATATGAATAGATTGATAATTGATATTTAATTCAATTCATGTTATTATCATATGGAACATAAGTTTAATGTAGTTCGGATTTGAAAGATGAATTTTTTTTTCAATTACTAAAATTAAAACAAAGTCAAACAGAACTTTATATGATTCTTAAAAATTTTAGACAAAAAAAAACATGTGTTAATTTATTTTTCGTACAAATTTTCTAAAGAGTACGATGTTTCGAAGTATGTTCTAAATGTTTTAAATAAAACATTAGATAGTAAAATAAGCAATTTATGAACTCTTCGTGAAAACTTTAAAAGATAGATATTTTGAATGAGAAATCAAATAATTCATAATATCTTTTGAATCGAAAATAGAATTCTGACGAACGAACTTGAAAGATTTCAAGATTGATCATTCTTTCGTTGATACATTTTCATCTTGTGTTTATCTTAAACATTTTGAAAAGACTTTAAGCTCTCAGCTTATTGGTACGGGGATATTGCATTTTTCTGATATCTTTAAGTCAGTTCTGTATTTTCACCTCTAGAAAAATCATTTTTGAAAAACCAATTGAAATTTTGCATTGATACAAACCTTAATGAGAATAATTTGTTGTAAAGGTTTCAGGCTTTTTTTTTGTTGTTCGTATCTTAACCTACAGTTATAGTAAAAGTATGTCCTTGACCTTGCTGATATACACCGATAAATTTGATATTTTTATTTCAAGATATGAGTGAATTGAAACTCCTGAAGCTTTTATAATAAATTGTTCTTGTTAAAATTTATCTTTGTGTAAAGTATCAAGTTGAAATTTGAAAATCGATTTTTCTTATGTGAAAACTCGGCATTATCGTAAAAATACAGTATCTTCCTAGCAATAAGCTGAGAGCGCAAACTCTTTTTAGGATATTTATAGCCCCATTAGAGTCTTCTACATAATCCAAATTGAAAAGCGATTAACTCTTTTTAAGTCTAAGTGCAAGAATTATGTTCGCCAATAACTATAATGACACATTATACATTCGTTGAGTTTTTATAATCGTACCATAGATCAAAATTGCAAACAGAATAAGATTTATTATACAACAATCGTAAAGAGCCCCACTATCCAGTAAAAAGTGTAGAAACTTCAATCCTTTTTGTCTGATATTTTGACTATAAATAGAGCTCGATAATATCTGATCGCTAGCAGCAATCGGACAAGGATTTACGCGGAAAGCACTGGGTTGTTCTGTAGAGCAGGGTACAGACTAGGGAAAATTTCAAGGTAAATGGTTAAAATTAACCAAAGATATCGATCATCATGTGCAGATTACTCAAAGAATACTTCATAAATTAGGTAAACTAAAATTATTTGATATGGAATTTGTATTAGTGATAGAGACAGTGCTGAGCCGTTCTAACGTCATTCGATGTTGAGATATCCTTGTCTGCATCTCCGCATGAAGATTGATCAAATCTTTGCGATCAGATTTCAACAGGCTCTATTTGTGGTCAAACTATAAAACTAAACGACTAAATTTTAGGTACTTTTCACAGTGGACAACAACGTGAACACTAGGCGAAAAAAATGAAAGTGACCTTTTTTTTTGCGATTTGAATAGTAATTTATATACTTTGATTAATGACCAGTTTTTTGATAAAAAAGAATTTTTTTCTTAGTTGCTGGACAATCAATCATATATATATAATTTAAAACTAGGACTTCTACTCTATCGATTTATAAGAAAAGTTTTCGTTCTGAAAGCATAATTATTCGTTTCCCCAAAAAGCCATCTTCAGTTTAAATTGACCGTTCCTTTTTTTCTACTAATCTGATATTGATAAAGCGTCTAGAGAATGTTCTTCTATATCTGTGACATACACTCAATTAGCATCAAGATACGTAAATGCTTCTAAACTGAGATACCAGTTTTCTTAAAAATCTTGCTTTTCAAAGGTTTTTCATCATTTCTTTGAAGCATTTCGAAAGAAAAACTCCATCGCTTGATGTACTATCTGTCAATTTTTTCACGAGAGTTTATGATAAGGACCTCGTTCGGGGATTTTTCATCAATTTTATTTTTGAGTACAATAAGATAATATTTCTATTTAAAAAAATTCGTTTTTGACAGAAAATAAGTCATGCTCATTGTAGTTTTGATGTTGGTAGCAGAACTTTTAGCAACCATTGTATTTCATTCTACACAATACATGATATAAATAAATCTACTCGAAATTTCTTTTTCAAGGTTAAAATATTGTTAATGATTCGTTTTCATATTTATTTTCCTTGAAATTTCATTAATTAATAGTACAATGATTTTATCTTGTCAATAACTGTATCATCGATTTCAATATTTTTCACACAAAAAGAAAAACTTAAATGTACAAATTATCATTACAATTAATCAGGTATAAATATATATATATCTGTCAATGTCATCACTTTGTATAAATATATATGATCACAATTGAATATTATTAAGATTCATTTTATATTTAAATTGATAAGGTCATTTCTCTCCTATTCAAATGACACAATTAGTTTAGATAATATCTCTTGAGAATTCTTTATATTGCCTTTAGCTCTATCATTATTGTATGACAAAGAAAAAAAAAAGGTAATATGTGTCTTAAAATATTTCTTTTGATAAGAAAATCAATTGTGTATTAGTCGAAATCAATTATTATTATTATTGTATGGTGTGATGATGATGAAGTAATCAACACACGCATACACATAGAAAAGTCCATTCGAGCAGAAAATTGATCATATTATATATAGGAAACGAGTAAAAAAAGAAAAGGTGAATCTTTACCTAAACAATTAACATAGCGTGTCGTTAATTGAAGTAATAATATTTGAGTTTTTTTTTTTTTTTTTGCATATGCAGTCGGTCTCTTACCTTTCCTATTAATCTCGTCGCGTGCATCTAACTGCTTGCCTATATACAAAATTGATCGTCATTATATTCACGATGAATTAGTAGAGACGAGAAAAAAGAAAAAAATGAAGCAATGATGATGACGTCTGTCAGCAATTATACTTCTACATAGACGACTTACCTTCTTTTTTAACTAAGTAAATGATAAAAGAAATAAAACAATATATACATATTGAAATATTTAGCTAATTCATTGAATTATATTTATATAAATGAAAAGAAAAACAAATCATAGCAGCACAATAGCAAAATTCTCTCTCTGCGTACATAGTTTCAAAAAAAAAAAAGAAATTTTTTTTTTTTTGGTCTTATACACCTTGAGGCCATACAAGATGATTTTTTGTATGATTTGTTGTTCCAATAATGGCACTCATATATTCTTTGGCTTTAATACGTAAATGAGTAATAGAATCAGCATTATTATTATTATTTGTTTCATTTAAAATTTCATTTGTATCCGAAGAAGAATATGAACCATATGGATGATGAAGTGATGATGTTGGATAAAGTGTTGATACATTACAATTTGTTGGAAAAAATGATATACCATTAGAATTATTTGTATTATTTGTATTTGTACAAAATGATGAATTTGATGTTGTAAATGGTGTAACAAGCCATGGATCCATTGATAATGTTGATGAACATGATGGAGATGATGATGATGCATTTCCTATATTTCTAGATGTCATTGGAAAACTTGACATTGGAAAATCTGGATTAATTTTTAATGTATTTGCTTCAGCTTTTTCTTGTCGACGCCATTTAGCACGACGATTTTGAAACCTAATATTAAATTATATTTATCTATAGACATTTCAATTTAATAATTTTTCTATATTCTTATTAAACTCGAATAGATTATATTATTTCTTACCATACTTGTACTCGCACTTCAGGTAAACTAATTTTGCCTGCTAATTCTTCTCGATTGTATACATCGGGATAATCTAAAAATAAAAAAAACGAGATAATCAGAGATAAATTAAGTTGAAAGAAAAGAATAATTTACGAGATTTTTCAAAAGCTCGTTCAAGTTCATGTAATTGAAATGTTGTAAATGTTGTACGATTACGACGATGTTTTTTTTTTGAATTATGTTGATTATTTGTTAAACAATGATCATTACTATCAATGTCATCATCTAAATCTTCAAGATCATCTTCTGAATTACCATTACTTTTACTATTACTTAATACATCAGTTTCATTACTAACACGACGAGCAGATTTAACTACTAAATTTAAAAAAATAAAATAATTAAGAAGTTTTTTTTTTTGTATACTTACTATCAGGATAATGTTCATTTGAATGACGTTTTTTATTATGTTGATGAAATTCTAATGATGATGGTAAAAAATGAGAAGAAAACGGATGTTGTTGTTGATGATGATGATGATGATGATTATCACCATTTTTAATACCTAATATAGCTTCAATTGAATGAATTGCTTTAAGATTATTAGGATCAGATAAATCATCACTTGTTGTTGCTACTAAAGGCATAGAATTTGTTGCTGTTGTTGTTTTATTTGTACCACTTTTCATTCTAGATATTTTCTGTCTTAATATGAATATAGTTGTAATAATAATGATGGATTCTTTTTTTTTTGTCGTTTTATTCTCTTACTAGTTCGTTGTTTTTTTAATTTATTTAATGAATAATCTAATAATGACCGTGCTGAATAGGTTAGTTGTATGATGATGATGAAGAATAAAAAGAGGACGTGAAATGAGCAGAAAGAAAAGAAGCAAAACATTAATCAACAACGTCACTCTTTTTCTCTCTCTCTCTCGTTTTTTTTTCTATTCGTCAAAAAAGCAACGATAGGACGAATAGTAAAGGTGGATGTAATTACGGGCTAATATGACCAATGAATAAGGCGGGTTAATTTGTTAAAAAATTAGATCGATGTATTAAAGAATAAATGAATTTTTCTAGATTCATCAACACTATGTAATTATTTTAAAGAAGATTAAATGAATGAGAAAATATAGAAATAAAAGAAATTAATTCTTCATCTTTTTTTTTTCTCCCTATATCAATTAGAAAATAGTAAGTATTTTGAAATGGATTACAAAAAAACAACAACAACAAATTTTTACTTTTTTTTTTTTTATTAATTATATTTTGTTATGCTTATATAATTGTTTTATATGAGAAATAAAAATTAAGTTATAATATATATTCTGTCATGTTTGTTTAGATACCTTTATCGAAACATTCATATTAAATAACATTATTAAACAAATTTTAATTAGAGAAATAATGAATATGTTTGAATTTATTCTAATACATAAATGACTAGCGTGACATTTTTTATTCATGGCTATAAACAAATGACTTTAAGTTATTTTTGTTTCTTCGTGTCATTGCTTTGTAGAAGAAGTCAGACTATACTGAAATTTTGTACCTGACAGAATTATAAAAGTAATAGAAATAATAATAAAAACTATTTTATCGAATAAGAGACTATTCATAATCATAAGTTGAATAATATGATCTTGTCATTAATAGTTTACTTATAATGAAAGTTGAAGTTTTGTTTCGATCTGTCTATGTACTCAAATTTCCGGTCAGATTGTCACGAATTTTCATGTTATTTTGAAATTTTGATTATCAAACGGAAATAATTTTTTTTTCTACTAAACTTGAACCGATATTGCCATTGACTTTTATCAATTAAATAAAATATTTCTTAAGGACTTTTCTAATATAATTGTAATCAAAAGTTTCGATGATACAAAGAAGATTTTTTTTTTTTTTTTCTTTATACAATCAGATTACTCTAGAGATAAAACAAAATAAATTTAAATATCTCGTTGGACATAATAATATCATTGGTTCATAAAAAGATTCCCATGATGGTCACTTAAGTAAAATAGATAGATAATACATCATCACGATTTGATTGTCTGTATCTAATGTTGATCAAATTAGTCTCTCTTTTTTTATCAAATTAGATTTCTTTTTCAATAGAAATATAAGTAGGCTAATATTCCTAAACACCGTTACATCTGCCATCATACATTTAAGATTGAGTGGATGACTTTTTTTTTTTGATGTGACACATTCTGTCTGTTCTATTTTAATTAGCGGTTTCTGTAACGACAGAATCGAGCAACTTACTCTTTTTTTTCTTCTCTATTGCCTGCTGTGAAAAGTCAATTAGCTTGAACAAGTCTTTTTTTTCGAACTAAACTCACTTCAAAAAAAAAAAAAAAAAAAAGAGAAAAATTAAATGACATGATGATGAAACAATAAAGACTAAAAAGAATCTTGTCTTCGACAATTACCGTCATCATTAACTTAGTTCACATCTTTTCTTTTTCTTAAATCAATCTAAAGCTTTTCTCACCTGATTATGCTATCTATAGCGTTAATCATGACATGAAAAAAAAACAAAAGAAATTCATCAACAACATGCAATGTACAGTCTATACATTGAACAAAAAAATAAAAATAAAAATCAAACGATCATATTTGCAGATTTTGACCTTGGCGAAGAAAAAAAAAAAAAAAATAAAAGAACGAATCGTATTCTCGACAGATTTTTTAATTAAATGAAAAAAAAGCAAGCATGAAGTACTCTATTGGTTCATTTAATGATTAACCATATTTCGTTACTCGTCTACTGTCACCGACAATTTCCTGACATGATGTGTGATTTTATATCTTAGTTAATAATATAGCGAAACAAGAAGATTAAATTCACTATTCTAATCGAATATTCACTTTCTCTTGCTTATCGATTTGCTAACAGAATTAACGACGAAAAGTCTTTTCAATGACGGTGTGTGTGTGTATGTAAATGTGTGACCTCTCCATTCACTCCCATAATGATCACACATATAAGTATACATATGTGTGTTGGGCTTAATTATCATCAAATTGACATAGTGTCTTCATATACTTATTTTCTTCTAATCATTGTCAAAGTGAAAAGATCAGATGAATATATATATATGGCCTTTTTATCGAATTATGTCACTAAAAGATGGTGATGATGTGAGAATGGTCTTTTTTTTTGTTCTTGTTGTTGTACTTTTGAAATTCAAATGATCGAAGATTTTTATCAAATGTCAAATGTTTTTATCAAGAACGATTGATTGAAGAAGAAAAGAAAAGAACAATCCAATTAAATTTAATTGATTAAAAAAAAAATTCGTTAGGTTTTATTTTTTGAAATTGAATCTGATGGAGAGAGACGAGACACAAAAAAAGGTCAAATCGACTCATTGGTACTTTTCTTGATCAACGCTATTAAATCATATATTAATAGAAAGACCATATTGAGGCTAACATGTTCATACCAGTTTCGATCAAATTTTGAAACCCAAAAGCTATCAATAAAGTAATGCATTTTTGGTGATTATTCTAATAGTCCATTCAATCACGATGGATTCAATTGGAGAATAAATACAGACAAGACAAAATACTACTAAAATTATGTATTTCATGGTTCTTTAATTGGTCTTTAATCACCAATTGATTATTTCACCCTTTGAGTACCGGATTATTTTTATAATTTCAAACTAACGTTTATTTCGAAAAAAATATCACAAAGTTCATGAATTAAAATGCTTGTAGAGTGTGATAGTCTTTAAAATAATCTATAAGACACAATCCTACATCACATTCAATACATACATAACGAAGTAGCTCTTCTTGATCTGGCTCTTCTCACAGTATTGGCACAAACGTAACATTTTCTTCTTGGATTTAGTTGATTCTCTGTTGATTCAATGCGTGAAGGAAAATGTTATCGAATGTGATTAATTGATCAGAACGTTTACTATAGATAACACTCTTGAATGACTGTGTTAATATGAAAAATCCTGTTGATAACGATTATTCTTTCTTGGAAAATGTTGTCCAATGACTTATGTTCTAATTCATTGAATCACATAGTGGTCGATAGAAATATTAGGAAACAACCAATATTCATTACTAGGTACAGATAGTCTTAACCGTACAAAATATCCTAAACGCAAATATTCATATAATTCATATCATAAAATAATCAAACGATCATGTTTTCTAAAATTATTCAGACCCTATAAACTATCAGGACGCGAATTTGCGTTGTCGGTACTCAAAAGGTTAATTAACGAGATGTAAGTCAGACATACTGTTGTCAGAAAAGAAATAAATGGCAAATAGCCATTTTTTGAATAAGTTTTGATAGGAACAAGATAGAGAGCTGCGACTTTTATTCATTTGAAAGAGCGATGTTCAGACCACCGATTGGGATAGAACACATTAAGATGAAAGATGTTTTTTAGGGTCATCTGTGGATCAACAATTTTTTCTTTGTGTATTTTCACAATAATCTCAACTCAAACTATGTGATAATGTAGCTCAAATCATCTGTTTTTCGCTATAAAATTAACATCTGTTTTCTTTTAATTCGCTTAGAATAAGAGATAATGAAATATATGATAATTTTACAGCGGAAAACGGGTGATTTAAGCTACATTTTGACATAATTTGAGTTGAAATTATTGTGAAAATACTCAAAGATACCTATAAAAAAAGCATCTTTCGTCTTAATATGTTCTATACCGACCGATGGCCTGGACATCGCTCTTTCAAATAGTAAAAATCACAGCTCTCTATCTTGTTCTTAAGGAAATTTATTCAAAAAAAGGCTACTCGCTTTTTATTTTAGGTTTTCGAGCAATAGTAAGATTAAATCTCGTTTTGTCGAAATAATAAAAGGTAATGAGTAGAAGAAGAATAGATTCATCTATTTGATTAGAATTTTTTTTTAACATATTCATCAAATATAATGGTTAATAATTCTGAATAACTTTTTCAAAATATTCTTCTAATGTTAATTTTTATTGTTTATAATGATTTTCTAAATCATATAATCGTACGTTTCGATTAACAAATAATTTTGACATTCTTTTGTATTGAAGTTAAATAAATATTGCATAAACAATGAATTTCTGCTTTTGATCGCATGCATATATATTCGAAAAAAATAACATATTACTAGCATAGTTAAGCTAGTTACTTTGATTCTATTTTTCGACGAAACGAGAATTCACCACTAGTAGATACTAATGATATATTTATTATGCACTCTTATCCTTCACTAAACATTTTAATTTACAATTTGAAACGATCAAAAGTTGTGTATTGCTTATTTGATAGACGCTTTAAAAAGCTACAAAATCATATATTTTCCAGGTTCAATTTTGTATCATTTCAATCAGAATCAAAACTAATCTGATATTCGGAATCAGCATGAAAAACTGAGTTAATCTATGTACCATTTAAAGGATTCTCGCAACATTTTTTTTCTCGTCGAAAAATTTGCCCGTGGTCCCTCTCAAGGACCAGACGAAAAATACGTTGCACTAAAACACTATTTGGACATTATAGCCAAATCTCGAAATTGCCTTAAAATTATAACATGACAAAATGGCTGATGTCTAGACGATAAAAACAAGGTATTTAAAGAGTTTAGTTTTCGTCTGATCCCTGAGGGAGACCACAGATAATTTTTCGGCGAAAAAAAAAATATTGCTGGAATTCTTTAAATGGTATATAGACTAACTCAATTTTTTACGTTGATTCCGAGTATCATATTAGTTTTGACTTAAATTGAACCATTTCTGATTGAAAATAGTGTGTTATGAAATTTTGCAAGTGACTCAATTTTTTTTTTTTACTTTGGAAAATATATGATTTTGTAGATATATAAAAGATCTATTAAATGAGCAATATGAGATTTTTTTCCATCACTTCAAAATTTAAATTAAAATATTTGTTGAACGATAAGAATGAATTTTAAACATAGTAAATATGCTAACAATATCTATTACTACATCGGACTTATATCTCGTTACATTAAATATATCAATTGATGATTTACATATATGCGAAATTGAGGAGCTATGAAATTCATAATTTCAATAGTATTTTGTTTTGTTTTACGTATTTTCAAATTAAATCTAAATAAACATAAAAAGAAGATGTAAACAACTTTTAATCAATTCAAAACAATCTTTCGATATTTGATATATGGAAATAGAGAATGATTCAGATTGCAAAAAATCAAACTGCAAATTTCCAGTTATCTATGTAAACTTGTTATTGGTATGTAGAATCCATCGGGTTCAAAATTTTTATAGCCGAACCTGACTCAACGGACTCTATTGGTATGACTATTTGAAATCACTACTAGCAGCAAAAAACAATGTCAATCATTAAGAAAAGAAAAAAGAAGTAGATCAGCAAAGGTAAATATGTGTTTTGTTCGTACAAGAATTGACTTTTCTTTTTCATGCTTTGAATTTTTTATTTAATGTTATTTTTTGCATCTCTTCTAATTTATTCCGTAGTTTTTTTTTCTATTTACTTAATTTTACTTTTTTTTTGTGTAAAATTAAGCTTTATAAGTACAAAACTTCTTCTACTGATAAAATCTGCATTTGTACTAACCAAAATTAACCTTTTTTTTTATTATCATTCCATTCAACTTTTAATAAAACATGTGATTGTAGGAATTTATCTCTAGTGGAATTCTAGTTTTTTTTTTTTTTTTGTACAATATCATTGTAAAAGTCAATGAAAATGAAAAATTGGAGTAATGTTGATTTGCTAAAAAAATCATTTTAACGATTGAATTCAATAAAAAAAAAGATTTATTTTTATGTTTTGTAAGCGTATATTTGTAATTTTTATAAATAAATTATATGCATATACAAGTCAAGATAAAAGATATTCTTAAGAAAATAAGATGATAGAAGCTGAAAATCAAGTAAAATTCTTTCAATGAAAATAATGATATATTATTAAAGAATCTGAATAAAAGAATATGAAAATCTACGAAGTGTGACAAATAGTTTTTTAGAATTTTATTAATATTTTAAGTGCAACAGAAATTTCTTTAAAAAAAAAAAGAAGATTAGTTTGATCAATTAGTGGTTACAAGTGATTGTCGATGTGATTTGTAAACTGCTGGTAGAGAAAAACGATTTTGTATTTCTTGTATTGTAGAAATACTTATTTGACTGATTTCAGAATCTCTTTTACGAAGACTTAATACTGAAGATCTTCGACGAGATGATGCATGTGACATTTTACGTGATCCATATCCTGGTCGTTGACAACCAGTATTCATATTAATTGAACGTCGATAAATTGGTATAAATGATCGTCGATATGATGGTGATATTTGTACTTCAAATAAATGTAACATTTGTTCTGCTAGACCAATAGATTGTTTAGTATTATTAATTAATGGAAGTTTTGGAATAGATGATGTATTTTTATTGATTTCAGGAATAGATTGTACTAAAATTTTAATAAAATATTTATTTGACAAAAATAAAAAATAGAAAATTTCTCAAGATATTTACATATATTATTTGAATTTTTTTTTGAACTTCGTAATATTGCAACTGTTTTCCAATCATCTAATCGTTTTGCTTCATTTATTTTTGTTTCTATTAAATTAAAATTTTCTGATGAATCTAATAATAGTGATGATGATGATGATGTTGATGATGAAAAACTTGTTATTGTATTAGTTGTTATTGTATTTGTTGTTCGTTTTGATTTATTTGTTTGTGGTCGTAATTTTTGATCTGGTATTTCTCTTGACATAAATACTGTTAATCGACATGCTTGTTCAAGAAAATTACCTATTTCTGTATAACCTAATTTTTTTGCTATATCTTCTGGAGTATTATTATGAACATCTTTTATATCAAATCTTAATCGATAACGTACAAGATAATTAACAATCGTATGAACAAGAATTTCATTTCCATGTTCAACAGCATAATGTAAAGAACATGAACCTGATTTATCTCGTGCAAGTATATCAATATCACCTGGATTTGAATTAAGTAAATAAAGTGCTTCTTGTGTACAATTAAGATTTGTTGCCCAATTAAAAACATTTTTATGATGATAATCAAATGAATGTATATTAAGATTATAATTTTTAATTAAAAATTGAAATAATTGAAAACGTTTTTTTGATAATAAAGAACTTTGTTCTTGTCTTTGTTGTTGTTGTAAAATATGTATTAGAAAATTTTGTCCAAGTGTATTTTGTACATAAATATTATAACCATGTTCAACTAAATAAATAATTTTATTTAATTGACATTGTTCAACAGCTTCGACAAGTTGTCTTTCAGATTTATATGCCATTTGTTTTGTGTGAAAAATATAATGATGATGTTGTATAAAAATTCATAGTGATTTTAATCAAGATTGATTTCATCGCACTATTGAAATAAGGAAGCATTAGAAAGAAAAAAAAAAAGCTTTACATAGGTGATGATTCAACCATGTAAGGAACTTCATTAATATTTATAATGAGATTTTTTTGTTATGTTACTATATGACGATCTAACAACAAACAAAAAAAAAAAAAGTTTCTTGTACTACTTCTGTACGAAAATAGGTAACAATAAGAAGTGTCTATTGTATTTGACGTATGTAAGAAAGCTATTTTTGTAGAATAAAAAAAAAAAAATACAACGTAAAGTTCGAATATGTGTTCAGTCTTGTGGATTTAATTTATTGCACTTTTAATACAGAGTAGTTCAAAAACTATAGGAAAAAATTAGTAGTGTGACCAAGACGAGCTGAGGCTCACCCTTCCTCTGTCAGTTGAAAGCAAACCAAATAAACTCTATGACAAATGTCTTCAACAGACACAGCCGTCCGCCTCCTTCCACAGAAGATTTCGATCATTGTAAGTTCTAGCAACTATGAAAAATTTTTAAATTATGGATAGATTTGTTTTTAATTTAGATATATCAATTCACAAAATTAAATATCAATCAACTTCATATATTTATTTATATTAAATTAATATCCATTTGTTTCAATTTCCAATCTTTTGCTTCAATGCTATAAGCGTCTCATATGAATCAACTAAATATTAGACTTTTAATCAATGATTTATTTGACTCAATGTTACATAGATAAAATTTTAAGATGACGAATTTATATATATATATTCTTTTATAATAAATCATACCATGACATCTATCGTTTAAATTTTCAACTGTTTTATTTGTAATTAAAAGTTTTATTTATTTTTTAATTATCTGATTTTTTAATTGTTTTTGTAATAAAATCTTAACAACAGAAGATTTGTTGTCTTTTTTTTTATTGAGTCTGTTTCTATATCAACGAATTGATCTTATGGTTTTTATGACTCATCATATTAAATTCATTGTTTGTTTGAACATAGGAAAATTAAATAAGTTTAGATTTATCAATTCTTGTAAATGCCCCAACCCGATCGTATTCTTTTAGTTATTTCAATTCTTGAAGGTAAATTCAATTTATTTTACATTTTAATCTTTTAAAAAATAAAATAAACTTTATCATTTCTAAGGTCGAAATTTTCCAAGTCAATCATCATGTCAATTAACTGTTGATGCTAAATTCGATGGTGAAATTCTTACAACAGATCCTGTTGAATTTACATCAACACCTGATATTAATCAAGAATTAGCTTGGGAACTTGATAAGAAAACTTTTCAATTACATAAATTACAACGTAGTGTTATTAAATGTAATGCATATTCAACAACATCAACTGGACAACGTGAAAATCTTGGTTATTTTATAATTGATATTCGACCATTAAATACAAGTCAAGTAATTGTTTTTTCTTTTTTTTTTTTTTTTTTTTGAAATACACGAATATAATTCTAGAAAATTCGTTGGTATCATTTATTACAAACAAAATATCCAAAATTAAAACCAGAATTTAGTATATGTGCATATATTGAAGATGATCAAACAACTAGAAGTGGAGGATCGACAACATCAAAAATTAGTAATAAGAAAAAAAAAAAAAAACAAAATTCTTCTAATTCATTAAAATCTATTCTAGGTAAAACACCATCAAATACAGGTATATCATCATCAACAACAACAACAGCAACAACATCAACTCGTTCAAAACATCTTCAACCAATTCTTCTTGAAGATAAAGGTTATTATCAATTAGGATCTGATATTCCATCAGCAGAAATATTTTCTTTATCAATAACAATACGTTCTGCACAAAATCTTACACATGTAAGAATAAAGAAAGAAAAATATATATTTCTTTTTCATTAAATATAATTTTAGGTTATATCATCAAGTATAAATTTAAATACTCAAGTTGGATATTTTTTTGATTATAAACTTTTTGATAATAAAATTAAAACTGAAATATTTCATAATTTAATTCAACCAGAATTTTATCCTGAACGTGCTAGTGTTCGTATACGTTCATCAATTCAATTACTTCGATCTTATCTTGAAACATATCATCCAATTGAATTTAATTTATGGTCTGAAAATAATATTATAGGTCAAACACATATACCATTACATAAAATTTTTAAACCATTACAACAAAAATCAGGCATGGATAAAACATTTGATGTATTAACAGAAACATATAATCTTCGAATTATTTCATTAAATGAAAATGAAAATGAAAAATTACAAACTATTGAAGATGAAGATTCACAACCAATTGTTAAAGTTGAAATTACATTAGCAAGAGAAACATCAATAAATAAACAAAAATCAAAGAATGATAAACAACAACGAAAACGATCAAATAGTCCTAATACTAATCCAAGTTCAAATACAACAATTGTTGAGCATGAAAATAGGTAAGAAAATTTTTTTTTATCAAAGTTATGTACTAATAAGAAAATCTTGCCAAATGATATAATGAATTAGAAAATTTTCTAATAAATATATTTTCAGAAATCTCTCGGATTGATAATTACTCATCTACTTCCGATTAATTAATCGAGACTATGAATGCATAAACTACGGAAAGGCATGAATTCAAATCGAATAACAGAATTTTGTATATTTGAAATTTATTTCATTGATTATGAATTATATCAAGAAACTATCGCGTCATAAATAGAGAAAAGACAAACAAATGGAGAATGATTCAACGAACAGTTTTGCTTACTGAATGAAAAAACAATCTAAACTCATTGGATTTGGATTGACTCTAGTATGTAGTCGAATAACATTGGCCAAATCTGTCTTTTGAGATTCTCTAGTTTCTACCAACGGGAAGATTTTGTATTGCACAGTTCAATAGATCAGGACATTTTCTTCATGTAGACGAAAATGATCCAAACGTCAAGAAATCTTCATTTTTGAGATTAAAGATTTCAATATATATTTTTGTTTAAGTACTGCATCTCAACAATTCAATAGTGAAAATTTTTCAAAATTTTCGTATCTATCTGATGATTTAATGGTTTCGATTCCATGTGATACTTTAAGAACCCAACCGGAACCACTGAAGCATTGAACCTAAAGCCTATCAGTTTCAAAATTTTCGCATTCGGACCCAGTCAAATCTTATTTTGATATTTTCTAATTGGAACAAAATAGCCATCCGAAAGATATAAGACACTTTACTCTGATTTTTTTATATTCGGTAACTAGTGTAGAGTAATGCCCATCGGGTCAGGCACAACTCCATGGGCTGTAATTGGAACACATCGCTACAACAAAAAAAAAGGCCATATTTTGATGAAATTAGTATCTTAATGTTGATGTCATTTGAATCAGAGGACCGTCTGTCGGTGATTCATTGTTCAGTATTTCTAAACAAGACCGTATATCCTTCTCCATTAAAAACGAGAAATATTTAAGTTTTTAGTATTGATTATTTTTCTTTTTAGTATTCCACCACGAGTTCAACAAATATCTATAAATAATCATGCGACAACAGATGATCGTCTTTTTTCACCAATTTTTCATAATATAAATGATCATAATCTATCTCATCATTATTGTTTATCAATTGATTTAAAATCACTTCGTAATTTACGTTTATTACATTCAACATATTTATATTGTCGTTATGTTTATCCATTTCTTGGTACATCAACACCAATATTAACTCATCCACCATTACATATACCATATACAGCATCATCACCACCAAATGAACATTTATTACCACATGGTTTATGTATATTTAATTTTGCTGTTAATACAGAACAATTAACATCACATTTTCATCGTGAACCATTAACTATTGATATTTATCGTCGTGATCAAGAACGTAGTGAACGTAAAGATGAATTATTTGGTATTGTTCATGTACAATTAGATAAAGTTTTACAAGCTGAAAAACAACGTTGTTCATCAAATGTTAATGGAATTCTTGGATGGAGACAAACATGGACTCAAGCATTACCTGTACTTGGACATAATACTGAGTAATTGTTTTTTTTCTAAATATATTTTTAAAAATAAAAATTGTATATTATAGAAAATGTGCAGAATTATTGGTTACAATTACATTGGAAGATCTTGGTGCACTTCACCTTAATTCAATTACAACACCTAGATCTCAATCTGTTCCACCGGTAGAGTTTATTTTTTCAATTACAATGAATATCTCAACGAAGAAGTCAGTCAGAACATTATTCTCGACTATAAAATAAATCGATATGCTACAACTCATTCGAGTGCAATATTTTCAAAGAAAGTGGCGTTTATATCCCTCGCAGGTTTTTGTCGCACAAATATTTTTTGGTTGTGGACAGTATGAAGATGTAAAATCACCCAACCAGACCCTTTATATTTTTAGTTTCAACAAAAAAAATCAGTATTTTTGAGAACGGTTATTTATATAGGAAAGTAGTAGAAAATAGGGAGTATTTAGAGGTTTCTATAGTCGAAAGTTAGTTTTTATGTAGAATAAGTATAATATTTAGAATCAGCATGAAAAATTACACTAGACAGTCTATTTTTCGTTGTAAAACATTTCCCATGAAAATTTGACCTGTAGGAGACCAGGGGGAAACATTTCGTGGATAACAGGTTGAGGGAGAGTAGGAGGTCAGATTTTTATGGGAAATGTTTTACAATGAAAAATAGGCTATCTAGTGTAATTTTTCATGCTGATTCTGAATATCATACTCATTTTACATGAAAACCAACTTTCGATTATAGAAATCTCTAAATACTCCCTATTTTCTAGTACTTTCCTATATAAATAACCGTTCTCTAAAATATTGAATTTTTTTGTTGAGACTAAAAACATCCAAGATCTGGTTGGGTGATCTTACATCTTCATACTACTCACAACCAAAAAATATTGAAACGAAAAGAAACCTTACGCGGAGGTATAGCCTATGGAAAAAGCG